GGAGCTTGTGTGCTTTCGAGGGCACTTGCTCCAACAAGCCCCAACTTCTGGGACCTTGCAGGGCTTGTTTCCGATCCAGTGCACAGCTCCACCGGGCTACCAGAGGGTGATTGCTGGTCAGTGACTGCGATGATTGGCATTGCCTGGACATGGGCTAATGAACTCCGGCATGTTATTGCACCTATTGTCCCAGCCATTCGTTTGTCGGTCAGTGCCTATGCGGATAATTGGTCGTGGCAATCCAATGACCATCAGATACATGTGGAGCTCTTTCGAGCCACACACAGGGTGGCATTGTGCTTAGGACTTGAAATAGACCACTCTAAGACTTGGCAATGGGCAACGTCACAGCAAGGGGTCTCGTTAATGTCCATTGCACTTCAGGCCAACCCGTGGCCCGTTCGCCTGCAATCTGTCATGAAGGCCAAGGATCTTGGCACGCCAATGGTGTATCAAGGTCGAGCTGGAACCAGCATGCTCCCGGACCGGGAGTCTGAAGCAGTGCAACGATTGCAGCGCATCGAGTGGTCCTGTCGTTCTCTACATGATAAGGTGCATCAGATTCGAGCAAGTGTGTACCCAGTCGCATTCCATGGCACTGAGGTTGGAGTTATTGCAACTCACCAGCTCGATAACCTTCGTAATCAAATCGTGCAGGCGGTTTTCCATAAGATTCCAAGCATGAATTCGGCCATTGCATTCCAACTGATTGATGAACACCTGCTTGACCCGGCCCTTTTTGCAATCCTTTTGTCCATCAAGATGGCACAACGGTTTTTGCATAACAGCCCACCGGAGGAACGACAGAACTTCCTCACAATTGCAGCCACGGCCAAGGGCAACACAGGCCACATATGGGGACCAGCCACGGCACTTAAGGCCAACTTGCTAAGAATAGGATGGGGCGTTAGCCGTGACGGCATGATAACCTCCCCTCACCTGATCCCGCTGTCGCTGCTCCATGACTCGTTTGCCAAATTGCAACGCTTTGCCAAAGCCTCATGGGAAGTGGACTTTTTCCTCCACTATACCCAAAGGAAGAATCTCAGGGGATATCCAGACATCTCGCACCGCCTTACCACCAGAGCATTGAAGAAATTTCCTGGAGCCACTCACGTTCGATTAGTCCGTGAGTTGGCAGGCGGATTCCAGACCAAAGAACAGCAAAGCAAATGGGACACACAAGTCTCTGGCCAGTGCGAGCTTTGCCAGTTTGAAGATTCTCGATACCACAGAATTTTCGAATGCCCAGCAACCCAATCAGTTCGAGCTCGCTTCACATCCGTCTGTAACTTTGATCAACTGGTTGAAGCTGAATGGCACGAAACAGCTGGCATCATGATCCCCAGATTGCAGGGCTTGGCTCAAGCACTAGTCCATAACCTTCCGGAACCTGAAGTGCCCATCTTCGTTCAGCAACATGTCGTCCACTCCGGAACCAGAGTAGCTTTCTACACCGACGGGAGCTGCCAATGCCCGGAACAGATGCCATTCTCAACAGCGGCATCGGCTTTGATCATGGACTTGTGCCAGTCAGACAGTGAGCGAATCTGGCAGGCCAACAACTGGTTGTCCACTCGCACCATGCCACAATCTCTTGTAAGAATTTGGACGGCGCAGTGCCCCGGTGAGCAATCCATTCATAGAGCAGAGCTTCATGCACTGGTGAAGGCATGTGAACAATTGTCACAGGTTGACCTGTTCTCCGACTGCCAAAACGCTATTGATGCTGTGCATAAAGCTCAATTGGGCACACTTCGAGTGCACCCAGATGAGGACCACCTTGACTTGCTTCGACGTCTGCAGCAGGCACCAGGCCTGCATCAAGTTCGCGTTTGTAAGATTAAAGCCCACCTTTCCCCTGAACTAGTGGCTGACCCTTTGCTCCGCTACCACACGCTAGGTAACCAGTTGGCCAATGATTGGGCTCAGCGACGCAGCTTGGATCAGCATGACCCGGTAAATGCAGAGCTCCTGATGCAAATGCGGGACGTTCGTCAACAACGTTCAGACCTGGATGCCTTCCTGCAATATGTCGCTGCGCTTCAGTTAGAACGCCAGACACAACTGGATCTGCAGAAATTGACAGGTGATGAACCCATCCCCTCCTCTGCTTTTCAGTGCCTTGTCAGCTGGTCGGTTTCGTTGCCGCGACCTACGTTTGAGCTAGCTTCCGAAGCATGGGAAGGATGCTGCTGGGGACGCGACATTGCATGTCGCGTCTGGAGGTGGATCAGCCAGCTTGTTTGGCCAGCCCACATCGCAACCGATGACAATGATGGCGTTGGGGTTACATGGCTTGAATTGTTTGTGTCATTTTGCCTTGACCAACAGGTTTTGATCGGTGTACTTCAGGAGAAGGAACTCCTGCTGCTGTCTAGTTGGCACGATGTCATTCAGTATCAGGTTCAGGTGGAGACTTTTTGCCAAAGTTTTGCTACCTTGGTCCAACAAGTTGCTCAGCTTTCCAACCCCCATGGTTGGCCGACGGTTCCCAAAGGTATGGTCAAAAGCCTGTACATGCTTGGTGCACGGCAATGGCGCCACGGACTCCGGGTCCGCCCGGTCTTTCCGGCCCAGACAGAGACGATTTGCCTTGTTCGTTCATGGATCTCAACAGGCCATGCGACTTCCCATTTAAAATGGGTCCCGAGTCGCTTCTTCGATCCGATCCAGACGCATACAGCTCCACGCCCTTGGAGCCAGCTCATCAAGAGCTTTCGAGCACGCCTTCGTAGATTCCGTGCTGAGAGTCCCCTATGAGGGCCATCGCTAGGCAGTTGCCCGGCCAATGGGCCCAGGCTGCTGACCCCTCTAACCAGCGGAAAAGGTGTCTTTTTGAATATAAAACTTCTATAAACTCAGCGTGACATATAAGATGTTGAACATAGAGGTAACAACTTAGTATGCACGTAGCTAAGTTGCTAACTTCTGCACGAGCACTCATGAACGGCTTTCCTCCACTGCCATTTGTTCTCCACACCGCGCGGGCGAGCGAGAAGCATGCACTTACTTGTCCGAGGCTCGCTCAGACAGTGCCGTGCGCCATGACGGCCCACATGGGCCCCTTGCCTTTGGCTGAAGGCGCCAGCGACAGAGAGGCGATCTTCAAAGAGACTGGGGTGTCAGGTGGCGTGCGCTATCGGCAGCAGTGGGGACAGAGGTGCCTCAGTTTGAGCGGCCCTGCAGAGAAGCTGCCGGCTGCAAAAATCCTCGCCGAGTAGACGATAGCAAACAACGGGACGGAGGGTGGCAGGGCAACGACCCAGGTGCCAAGCAGAACAAAGAGGTTCAAGAGCTGTGAGAGCAGGCGCAGAGGCTAGAAGGACAAATGCAGGCTTACAGTGCCCAATTGCAGTGGGTTTCTACATCGCTTGCGGCTGCAAGCACTGCAGCGGCCACAGCGAACCAAGTGGCCAGCCAAGCCGCGTCTATAGCTGGTCAGGCTCCAGCCTTCGCCAGGAATGCCATGGACGTTGCGCAGAAAGACAAACAAAGGATAAAACCTACAAAAAAGAAACTCACGCGCAGTGAAAGCAAAGCATGTGACAAGTCTGAGAGCTTAACGTCACACTCGGAGGATGAAACAAGTCGTGGCAGTGTGAAGCAAGCGGAGGAACTCAAGGAGACAGAGGCTGCGACAGAGACCAAGAAGGAGGAGGAGTCATGCGCTCGGCCATGGTTTTGTATGGCTTTTAGTTTTGCATCCTCATAATGCGCATTTCTCTTCCTTTGACATGATCTTTACATTTCACCGTTTTCCACAACAAGGTTCACAAATAGTATGAACTTTGGGCATGGGGTGGTGAAAATCTGTGCCACTTTGACTCAGGCAGACTCCAACAAGACGAAGAGGATCAATGATGGCCATTCAGAACAGGATGAGGCACCAACGATTCTTCCAGAGCACATGCCATCATCATGCGGATTGGTGCTGGAGAAACGCGGAAAGGCTGCGCATGATGAGAAAGCGCTGGACCAAATGTGAAGGGTGAAGAAAAAGATTGAAATAGTGTGAATATTTCACAACATTCTATCAAGATAAGCATCACAAATGTCATAGGGTGTCACATGTGTCAAAAGCAAGTTCCATGTCCAAACCTTGAAAGCAACTCATCTTGCTTTGATGAAATCTGGATGGTTTCGTGATGATGGTGAGAGCATTTGAGATGTTTTGCGCGCCTTGACCTTTTGATCTTGGTTTCAGGAAAGGCTCGCCTTTAGCTTTAGCGTGTGTCGGAAGGCTCGCCTCCGAACATGCCATGCCAACCTTTCAAAAAGCAAAAACAATATCCTCCATCAGAATGCCTCAGAACGTTTCCTTTCAGGACCACATCGCTCTGCGGGGGGATGGGGGCGACGCTGGTCACCATCCAAAAAGATTCGGCGGGAGATGGCCTCTTTCTTGACTTGTGATGGCCCCTGCGGACAAATAATGAGGTCAATGGAGGTGATGGTGGGAGACAAACCTTAAGACTACCGCACTTTTGCAACACTTGTGTAAACTTCGTCCAGGGTGATCTCGTTCGAGAGAGCGAAAAGCTCAAGATTGTATTGTATATGGACGAGTGCAAGCCTGGGAACGTTCTTCAACCAGACCTATCTCCAACCCATTGCTGTTTAACTTGCCATCATGAAACCAGGGAAAACGGGTGGTTCTCCTTCGGAGCCTTTCCATCCAAGCTCATTTGCAAAGTTCGAGGAGGAAACGCGTTTCTGTTTTCCAGAATGGTTTCGATTTGTTGGAATGAGCCCATGCCTTTTGACTTCACAAGCGGATTCCCATGCCCTTCGACGGCAGGTGTCTTTTTTGCGCCAGGCAGTGTTGGGAGCAGTGTTGTCTGATGAGAAGAGTTTTGAAGGAGCTTTGGTCGCTTCACGGGGCAGCCGGCACCAAGCCATGCTGCCTATGTCAGAACGCGGTGGGGCATATGTCACGCGAAGATGTGGCCAATCACCAGTGGCTGGTGCACTACAGCTGCGAGCTTTCAAGCCATGCGTGACCGTTTGGCCCTTGTTGCTGCTGCTGGGAACAAAAAGGAATTGAACGCTTTGGGCCAGGCCTTTGGCCTGCAGTACAATGATCTGGCGTCTTGTGGCATCCAACTCTGAAAGACCAGGTGTGCCCAGTATATCACAAACCATGTATGATTGGATGCACGTTCTGGTTGCGAGTGATGGCATGGCTCAGTACGAGGTCAATGAATTTGCCAAGGCTGTTCGGCAACTTGGGATTCCTCTTTCGACCTTGGATCGATTCTCAAGGACTGTCATTTTGCCGTGGGGTCGCAAAAACATTCCACGAGACTTCTTCCAGGAAAGGATCAAC